ATGCTTATAATGCTATCTATATATAAATGCACAAAATATGAAAACATGCAAAAATATGGCAAAACTATTCTTGAGTTTCTGGCTACAACCTACCTAAAAAAATCCGGTTATTTTTGTAAAGGATGCAGTTAGTGTCAAAAATTAATTTAAAACTAACTAACTAGAAATACCAATTATGAGGAACATCATAATTCATGGTATACCGATCCAGAATCCGGAAAGAACAGTGGACATCGTGAAGGAAATAGCTACCTCTCTTAATATTGAACTAGAGGAGATTGGGGAAAAGGCAACCAGGATAAATTACACTTTGTTAAAAAGAGGGTATTACAACGGAAGGACTGGGTTATGAGGGAACCAATAACAAGGTTTATTTCAATGATGAGTTAACGAAGTTACAATCAAAAATTGTTTAAGATCACGAAAGAGTTTGGTCGTGGAAATGAGTATAAGTATGTTTGGGTTAAAAATGGAAAGATAATGCTTAAAAAGACTGATGAATCCAAACCCATTTTCTTAAACTGTGCTGATGACTTGCCAAAAAAAAACTAGAGAAAACTCAACAAGCTGCTACAATAAATATTAAACTACTTTACATTAACATAAGAAGTCTACGACACAAGCTTGATGAAGTTTATGTTATTCTCATCAACACATACTGGTGCTCGCGGAAACTTGGCTTTATGAGAATGAATCGGTTTTAATATATGCCTATTGGAGAATAAAATAACTGCTTAGATTACATGGAAACGGCACACAGTGGTCCGAAAACACTCAAAACCCGATCGAAAATCAATTGAAAAAAAAATTTTATAGTGTTGTTTTTTTAAATGTTACATATATTTTAACTATTAATAGACTCTTAGTGAAGTTTATGAAGTCTTTGGTGTTTTATAATAGCTACTGCGCGAAATAAATTGCTATTACAATTACCTTATTTTGTATAAGGAAATTTTTTAGAAAACGACACAACTTTAGAAAACAAAAAAGATGGTATATCACTACTTGAAAATATTGTGTCGTTGGTTTCTTATAAAGTACAGAAAGGTCTTCATTTTACGCCTTTCCAAATTTCAAAAGATGTTTGTTGAAAAAAATTACAACCATTTCTATTGACGTCAATAAATACTTATATTTTTTGACCATTCAATCTTTTAAATTAAATATCTTGCGAGCGAACAAAATCGAACAATTGTAGCTAACATTTTTTTATTGCTGAAGGTATGGTGTACATAGCATAAGAAAGAAATCTTGCGCCAACGTGCGCCTTAACCAAAAAATTGGCAGTCAAAGATTACTTAACACATAATTGTGGATCTTATTTATCCTTGTTATGATTTTCGTTATTTTGTTGCTATGTTTTGGTTTTTATCTTTTCTATTTTGGGTAGACTTCAAACAAATGAAGATTTATTTAAAAGACTATTACTGAGCTCCGATCCATTTATTAGTAACTTTTATAAAGAATGTTCAGAAAGATATAAAAATATGAATGAAGACATGAAAAATTTACTTATACTGGACAAGTCTCTAGAAGAAAAGGAAGGTAAAGAAGAAGATGATGATGATGAAGAAAGTGAAGAAGAAGACAATAATGATGAAGAAGTAAATATAGAGGAACAAGATCTAGAAAATGAAGAAGACTCACACAAATTGAGATAAATTTTGTTATGTTGGTGAATATAACAAAATATTTTATATTATCTCGAATAATTTGAAATGTATGTGGACTATCTCAGTATCATGGGAAAATTCTACTATAAGTAGGCTGCAAACTTACGTATTATGGTCTCCAATATCACTTCAAATTAAGAGCGATGAGTTTATTCTCGAATAGTTCTTAAAACATTTTTAGTAAAAGCTAAGTAAAATTGAGCTATCTAACCAACTAATTCTGCCAATTAATTTTGCCACATTTTTATCAAATTCCATTTCTGATAGGGTAAAAAAATATGGGGCGTTCCATTTAAAATTTTCGACTTTCTTACCATTGAATATGGAGAAACGATAATTCAATTTTTGACCACCCTGTATAAGATACTTTAATACAACAAATGACAATCTGTTTGACAACATCTCAAGAGTAATCGTGCCAATTTAGAGCTTTTTTGAATGAACGTTGGCTGAGATATAAGGTTTTAAAGAGCATAAAGTAATTTGCCAAAGAAAAACTTAAAAACAAAATAACTCGAAAACGAAAAATGGTAGGTACCAATAACTTTTATCAAAGTCAACTTATTTTGTCGAATATAATTAAAAGGTGCATTAAAAACTATAGCATTCCATTTAAAATAACGAAGTTGTGGTCTACATCCGGTAGACCGGAAGTGGCGGCCATCTTGAAAGTATTTTAGATCGAAAGCTTCGAATGAACAATCCATGTTGTCAAAATTTCAAACCGCTACGAATAGTGGTACCTAAAAAAGTTCTAACGAACCAGTTGCGTGAGACATACGGTATAGGTCCTCTATAAAACAATTTAGATAGGAATTTGCGATCACCTAATTACACAAAAAAATGTGAAGTAATATACGTCTAATGTTTTTTTGCACAAAATTTTATAGTAATATTCTTCTTTAAAGTCCTAATTTATATGAAAAGAAAATGAGTATGAATTTAAATAAAGTACTGCTTGCGTAGTACTACTTCCGGTTGACGAATTTAATTCAAATTTTGACACAACATTACCCTTTTGGTCTTATAATCATATGCCAAGTTTCATAAAGCTAGCTAATTGCTAACACCAAAATAATATTTTCGATCGGGTTTTCTTACCGCTCGGACCACTGTGCGGCAGCGGAGTGATTTAATGATTTACCACAACGGGTGAAGAATCAAAATGGTCTGGACTCCTTTGCGGGAGAAGCAAGGAGTTATTACCTTAATCTTAGGTTCAACTGATTTTTGAAATGTTTTTTTTTGTTGTATATGTATGTATGTATGTAACTTCTTCTTGCGTTCTTGTTACATTTTAGTGTTTATATACCTGTTATGGACTCTTATGTCTTTTTGGGAATGAACGATAAATTAAAAAAAAAATTATTTTTGTCGTTGGACTGAACTGATGACAGTGGCTATTCTTTACCAATATTTCACTAACTGATCGATTTAACCAAATTTGATACCACTTTCGTGTTTTCTTTTTGCAAGACTTAGCCGCACGTCTCTTAAGACGGCTAAACTCGAAAGATTGTAGTCTAGGTCTTGTGTTAGTTCTAATGATAGTGCTTGAGTGAAACTAGAACTAACATTAGATCTAGAACTAGAAAGTATCGATCGAATGTTCTGAGAACTAGAAACATTCTGGTTTAGCCGCACGTCTGCCAAGACGGCTAAACCTGAATGATTCTAGTCTAGGTTTTGTGTTAGTTCTAGTGATAATGCTAGTGCAATACTAGAACTAACACTAAACCGAGAACTAGAAACATTCGGATTTAGCCGCACGTCTCTCAAGACGGCTAAACCCGAATGATTTTAGTTCTAGGTTTTTTGTTAGTTCTAGTGATAGTGCTAGAGTAAAACTAGAACTAACACTAAACCCGAATGTTTCTAGTTCTAGGTCTAGTGTTAGTTCTAGTTTTATAGAAATATGCAACATAGCAATATCTTATGCTAACTAGTGCTAAGTACCACTTTAGATATAGTAGATTCGATGTTCATCGCAAATTTTATTTAATAATTAAACTATGTTTAACGATGAGGCAAATTTATTTGTTTTTCAGTGCTACATATGTTTACAAAATAACATGTCCAGAATGTAATATGGTCTATATAGGCCAAACTGGTAGAAATATACACATTAGATTTAGAGAACACTTAACAAAACATAATTCTGCAATCTTTAAACATATTGACAATCATAAACACATAATAAAATTTGAAAATGTTAAAGTTATCAAAAGTGTAAGGAAATCAAGGGAAATGGACTTAATTGAAGAATTTCACATACATAATAATAATTACAATAACCTTTTAATGAATGATATAACAGATATTAACCCATATAGACAATTCATCGAATACATTTAATTTTTCAAATTACACATTCAACGCATGCACAATTTCAGTTTAATAATATAGTAATCTCTTAATTCAGTCTCCTAAAGTTGATAATACAAAATAGATCATTCAGTTTTCAAATTTTAATAAGTCTATAGATTCAGTAAGTTACATTCACTAAATAATCACATTTACAGTTTTTCATCGTCTTTTACAGATAAATTCTTAATTTAATTCAATAAACCACATTTTTACGTTAAAACCAGTAAGTCAACTTTTACATTACTTATAAGACACGTGCTCTAACTCCATTTCCGTTGCTTTTTAGAATTTTATTTATCAAGATATAACAAACTATTTTAAATATACAGACATGCTCTTCAATTCTCACAATTTTTCACATTTAAGAAATTTCAAATTTGTTCAGGGGATAAACTCCTAAACATATACGCCTAAATAATTGATGAACGTAGAAATGAATTTTAATTATAAAAAGGAGTTCCTCTGAGATCTGACGGTGAGCTGTTTCCTTTAATTTTCTTTTAATCCTTACATGTTGTTTTTGCTCCTTAATTGTTTTAATCTTTAGTTAATTTGTTAATTCAATTTGATAATGTCACCTAGAACTAGAAACATTCGGATTTAGCCGTGCCTCTCTTAACCGGCTTTTTACATACGAAGTAAATGTTATGGATTTAAAATATATTATGCGCAATTAATGCGCATTAAAAAACGAATTTTTGCATTTTATTTTTAATTACAAAACAACATTTTTTTATCACGAACAATTTTGAGCTCCACCTGTTGAACTAACATTAAAATAATAATAACTAAAACCTTTACAAATAACAGTTTAGATCGATTACAAATTTTGTGAGTTAGCACTTTGGACTCGATTAGAATTTATGACGCGACTTAATCCGAATCCTTTCTAATCGCTTTATTTTGGGTAACATATTTTATATATATTTTTTCTTATCTTTAGGAATTTAATACCAAACATTTTATTTCATCATTTATTTTAATTATTATAAAAGTAGGTACAAAAAACTCTTATTTTTAATTAACTACATACTACAACATAAATGTGATTATAATCATGAAAAACATTAATTTCTAATTATTTTTAAGATTTTAAATAAATGTGATTCTAGTTTTGGTTTGGTTAATTTGCCAAACGTTTAATTCTTCATACTCCTCAATGCAAGCATCAACTTGATCTGGATTATAACCTTTACTGGCGCACTTTTCTAATATATCAGAAACTTTAACCGTTTTGTTATCGCCAGCTAATTCGCCAATAATCGCGAAGATTTTGTCGTTTACATTCATTGGTCTAAAACAATAATAAATAAATAAACATTTAAAAATAATCGTTTTAAAATTCACCTTGTTCCTTTATTCTCAATCGAATGATTCAAAGAATCTTTACTCATCGCCATCAAGCGAATCGCTTCATTCACATCATCCTTTTCAACTACATCTGAAAGTCTTAATCGGGCTAAAGCTGTTGATAAACGTAAGATTCCTAATAAATTTCTTGCTGAGGTGAATGTCATATCGCGTGAATTACGAGCTTCTTTTCGTAATTCTACATAAGCAGCTAAAATATAACAAAATTAAAAAAAAATTAATTTTTTTTAATAAATTAACTTACAAACAAGAAATTCGGTTAATTCAGCTGGGATAGTTGGGTCTTTCAATTTACACAACGCAATGTATTTTCTCATTAATGACATATCTAAGGGGGGAGTTTCTGTGGGGGGTTGTTGACTATGTTGGTGAACATAAGTGATGTGTTTAGCTAATCTTAAGTCGTTATCTCTATCTGGTTTATCTTGAATTAACCATAACAAATCGAAACGCGATAATAAAGCCGCTGGGAGTTGAATGTTTTGTTCAATCGTTCTTTTTGGATTGTAACGACCATAAGCGGGATTTGCGGCGGCCAATATTGATACTCTAGCGTTTAAACACGTCATTATACCAGCCTAAAATGTTAAAAATAACTAAATTTTATTTAAGACTTTATTTTTTAAATTACTTTAGCAATAGAAATCGTTTGTTGTTCCATAACTTCGTGTATAGCAGTACGATCGGCATCAGCCATTTTATCAAATTCATCAATACAACAAACACCTTGATCTGCAAGAACTAAAGCACCCCCTTCTAACATCATTTCGCCGGTTGTATGATCTTTCATAACAGCAGCTGTTAAACCAACGCCGGAAGAACCACGTCCTGTTGTATATTGACCTATTTTTATAAATAATAATTAGTATTGTTAATATAGAGATGATTTGGAACATACTTCTTGGGGCTAAACGATTAATGTAACCTAAAAGTTGAGATTTAGCGACTCCGGGGTCACCCATTAAGCAAATATTTATGTTTCCACGTATTTTCATTCCGTCAGGGCGCCGATCGACGCCTCCAACTAACAAAAGGAGAAGTGCTTTTTTTATGTCTAAATGGCCATAAATTTCTGGGGCTAAAGAAAGTGCTAATTTTGAATAAAAATCGTCTTCGGTTAATGTAGCCATTTCTTGTTGAGTTAAATTTTGAGAGGCGATTTCATCGTCGGTGCTTTTATTTAAAGAAATTACTCGCTAAAAACGATTAAGTTATTAAAAAATTAATGGGGGTTAATTAAAAAAAAAAAATATAATACATGTGCTTCTAAATAAGTGTCTGATAAAAGTCCTCCTGAAATTTGTTGAAAACCGGTTCTTATTAAAGGTAAAAAAACGCCGGTAATCGCGATGTGATCACCAGGTAAAGCTTGACGGGTGTTTTCTCCGCGGCAAAAGATTGTTAATGATCTAGGAATGTGTCCAACAGGAACTTGATCACTCTAAAAAGATTTGTATTAGGTTAGATATGATAAACTTTTTTCAGTGTTGTGCGAAATAATAGGTGCAAGTCTATTTATGTATTTTTATAATAAAAATCATAATAACATATTATTAAAAATTAATTCTTTTGGGCAATCTCTCTTAAAGAGGAGCCAAACTTGATATTGTGTCCGCTCACTTTAATTCTATAACTTCTAAAGAACTGTCAAATTTGAGTTGTGCAAAAAATAGGTGTTATATTTTTAAAAGTTAAAATTCAATATATATAATAGTTAGTTCTAGTTTTAGTTCAATAAAAATATGGAACATAGTGATATCTTATAAAGTCCCTAGATTTACAAAGTACCGCGATTCATGAAGCGTGTTTTCGAGCTGTTTCGAGCCAAAATGGCGGTTTGACAGCTTGTCACTGCATCTCACCACTTATTTACAAAAATATTGCAGTCTTATTGCCTTTGGAGTTGCAAAAATGGCAGTAAGAAGGACTTTCGACTCTTCAGAGTACCACGTAGTTTTAAATTTCCCGCTTGACTTTCGAGCCAAAATGGCGTCAAACCGCGGTACATTATAAATCTAGGGACTTTAATATCTTATGCTAACTAGCGCTACCTACTACTGCCACCAGAACTAACATTAGACATAGAACTAGATACATTCAGATTGAGCCGTATGTCTCTCAAGACGGCTAAACCCGAATGATTCTAGTTCTCGGTTTTTAATTAGTTCTAGTGATAGTGTAAAACTAGAACTAACACTAGACCTAGAACTAGATACATTCGGGTTTAGCCTTGCGTTCGCCGAGTAACTGTTCGCCTAGCCAACAAAGATCCGTTTGTTATNGTGCGGCTAAACCCGAATGATTCTAGTTCTCGGTTTTTAATTAGTTCTAGTGATAGTGTAAAACTAGAACTAACACTAGACCTAGAACTAGATACATTCGGGTTTAGCCTTGCGTTCGCCGAGTAACTGTTCGCCTAGCCAACAAAGATCCGTTTGTTATGTCAAAAATTATCAAAAATAAACTAAAATTGAATATCGACACATCAACTATTAAAAGACCACTTTTAGAGAAGAATTTTTCTGCTGGGAGCCCACGAAGAGTACCATTATTGCCAAAAAAGAACGTATCGAGAAAGTTACAATTTGCACGCAACCCCAAACGCGCATCAGATAGAGTTAATAGCTTCGTAAGGCGTCCTATCAGGAAAAGAATTTAATCCTACAGGGTGGGCAAATTTGGGTGTTATTATAGGCTATCTCAGAAACTATAAGAGAGACGAAAAAAGTAGGTGCCATGTCTCTAATCCAATCCCGCAAAGACCAAATCTCTATCTTCTTTCGTTTTTGAGTTATAGCCAAAAAGTCAAATTTTAGCGATTTCAAAAAATGCTCATATTTCGTTTATTTTTCAAATTAGAGAAATGGGGTTGACACGTTCTTAAGACACTTTGATATCAAATCAGTTCTAAATCTTATGTTTGGGGAAAACTGGGAAAATACTACCAAAGATTTCATTCGTTGATACCGAACTGTTCCAACCTTACAACCAGTAAGTTTAGTTCGTGAAGTTGTTCATATTTAATTATTCATTAACACATTTTTTTGTATTTTTAATAAACAAACTTTACTTCCTAGCCATTTTTTATTGATGAACAAAGTCAAGAATAAGATATTGAGAAATTTAAATTAACTATTCAAAGTTTTTATTCGTTGGTACAAAATCAACTTTATCCTGAATAATGGTACAAAACCAACTTTATTCTGTCATATTCGTACAAAACCATATATTATAACCACTGTAGTATTTACTGTCCGGACCCATCTAATATAATCAAAATTTTGAAGATTAGCGCTTACTATTTTGGAATTGAAAATTAACGCTTATTATCTGTAAATACACCATACATGCGATACATCAGTGGAAAGCTAAAAATATGTCTCTTATAGTTTCTGAGATAGCCTATAATAACACCCAAATTTGCCCACCCTGTACACCAGCAAAACAATAAAACATGGTGGGGGAAGCATAATGGGTTCCTGGTATGGAGTTGACCCAATTTTTTGGATACAGGGCATTTTAAATAAATATACATCAAGATACTGGAAAATACCATGATCCCTATGCTGATGACAATATGCCCCTGTGCTGGAAGTTTCAGCAAGACCACGACCCCAAAGAGCAATTGGTAATAAACGTTACTTAATTCAAAAGGATTTATGGTGTGCAGTCGAATTTGCTTGGTATAAAATATTTTAGAGTCGATGCGCAGCAGTGCTAAAAACTGCGGACAACGAACAATATATAAATTTTAAATGTTGTATTATACCATTTTTCTTTTAGTTTTCATTAAAACCATATTATTTTTATTAATTTAATGTGTGCATCTATTATTCTGCTCAGGCGTATTTACTTTGAGAAACAATCGTTTAGAGTGTCTTTTATATAACTTTTTGTTCAAAATCCCTTCTCCTCCAAGTTAATAGCCCTCCAAATTTAATGGAAAAAATCTGTAACTTTCTTATCTCTTGACATTTATAACTAATAAATTGTTAGCTTGATCACAAAAAATAAAATAATGCTGAGATCAATAATTGATCTGTCAAATGTCAAATTATTTGACATAATTTCATTTCTTTGTCTAATAATAACAATAACGACACTGTCTTGTGCTGAACCCAACGAAATCACAAGTTCGGATCGACACGTGACGATCTCGGTCTCTTTTTGGACAAGAATCTACGTTTTGTTAAGAATACCTCTTACTTAATAAGTAAGTCATACTTAAGTCCATATTTCATCAGCGGCATGTTTTCTCCAAGACTTGTAAGGTCATGCTGTGTTAATTTTTAGTGCTTAGCAACTTGAACTACTTGGACACGGTCAATGGTGAGTTTTTGTATAGAAGGGATAAAGACAGATTACAAAAAGTGCAGAATTCCTGTCTTCGAATGATTTACGGGATTCGACGTCTTCACTACATTAGCCACAAGCTGTCTGACTGTGGTTGGCTAAACTTGGAAAACTTGGCGGTAGCATTCGGTTAGTTTTCTTTATAAAATTCTAATCTCGGGTTCCCCTCCGTATTTACATTGTAGATTTGTGCCCAGAAGAGATACGCATAGTGTTAACAATAGATATACTAACTTACTAACTATCCCCTCATATAGAACAGAACTGTTCAAACGTACATTTAGTTACAAAATTGTGTTATATCAGTATTATATTATAGTTTTGTTTGCGTTTTTTCTTATTTTTTTTTTCACTTTCTTTCTCTTTAGTTTAAGTATCATTAGTTAGCTAACTTTAGATGTGTTTATGATGACTATTGGCAGTTTATGATAGCTCATTTTGCTTCCCTCAAATTTATATTGTTACAGCTGTATTTGCTATGATCAATTGTAGGTTTTTTTTTTAGTTTTTGTACTTTGAGTGAGCAATAAATATATTATTATTATTATTAATAACCAATCTCTGAATTAACTCACTTGAGCTTGTGAATTATTTTATTTTTTTGTGATCAAACTAACAATTTTAGGAGAAAATGTCAAAAAACAAAAAAGTTGCGTATTAAATCCCTCTATTTAAATCGAAGGTTTTAAATAGAAAAATTTAGACGCATTAAACAGTTCTAATATAAAGTATTGTAGGGGTTGATTTTTTCAGCCCCTTATAATACCATTTTTGGGTTATAAAAATCATCAAAATGTTATTCTTCTAAATTCCTCCATGGTGGATTTATTAAATAAAAACAAATTTTTTCCCCTAACTTTAGAGTGCTGTAACTTGGAAGAGAAGGGATTTTGAACAAAAAGTTATATAAAAGACATCCCTTAATTTTCTCTGAAAAATCACCTTGAAATCTTTCGCATCAATTTAGAAACACCTGTATATCTCAGGTCAACCTATTATTTTGCACAGCACTGTATTTTTCTAATCTTTTACCAATTCTTGCATACGAATTTCTTGAAATTTAATAAATTTCGATCCCCTAGTTTGTAAATACAAATTCCCCCCTGATTTATTAACCCTACATTCTTCACTAGGACATTTAGTTATGGGCATAAAACTCAACCCAGCAATTGGTTGATAAGTTTCAGCCCCACATTGATCACAAGTGTAAGTAGCAACACTCATCATGGGTTTTACATCTCCACATCTTGTCACAATACCTCTCACTGTTACTAATTTACCAATATGATCAGCTTTTACTTCCCGAATTGGAACATTTTTTGATGTGGACATATCTTTAAAATATATTTCACTAAAAAAAAATTAAATTACATAAAAAATAGAAAACTTAAATAATTAAATCTTACTATCTTCTCATTAACTCGGGTGGAAATTTATTTTTAGGATCTCGTTGTTCGTTTGGTTGTCGCACTCGACTGTCCATCATAATCCGATGTTCGATATAAACATCCAAAGCGTCTTTAGCAATGACTTCGTGATTTCGAAAAGTGGGGAGTAACTCGTAAACTAAATCACCCATAATATTCAAATATCTTCGGGTGTTGCTTATAACAGCTTCAGCTAAAGTATCATTATATTCATGAAGATCATCCAATTCAATGTACATTGCCACTTGGTCTCTGTGAGCTAATTTTGTTAATTGCTCACAATATTTAAAGTGTTTCTTCCCAAGATCATCTTGCGAACAAAATTCGGTTAAGAAAGTTTTAAGGTTTTCTGTTAAAAAAAGTTTTTTTAATAAAATTTAAGCTATATTACAGTTTTAATTTACCTTTATCTTTATCGTAGTCTCTTCGAACCATTTTTAATGATTTTTGGTACTTTTTCTCCTAAAATAAATTGTGATTTAAAAGTTTTAAACACCACACACATAAATATATGACAACAAAATAAGCGGTTTATTTGGGCGGGAAAACTTTGACAATTAATTGAGGTTATGGGACGCATGCGCATTAGTTATTAAACTTAATTTTTTTATTAAATTTTGTTATAAATAATTAAATAAATATAAAATTTTAAGTTGTTTTTTAAATAAAAAGAAAATTATTTATTAATAAAGATTATATCGTATTATTATTTCAAAAAAAAATCAAAAAATAAGTAATAGCGCCATCTATCCACACTTTTCTCAACGAAATCAATTAAATGATTTCGTTATTAAATTGATGAATAATAATTAGATTAATAAAATATGTATAAAATAAGACATTATTCAAATATTACTATGTAAATAAAAAGAAATTTAGCTTTATATACCATGGAATAAAATATTTGATAAAAACTACATAACCTCAATTGTCATTTTTTGATTTAATAAAGATATATAATCAAAAAACTCTAATCGTTAAATACGATTTTTATTGTTGAAAAGTTACATTTAAGTGATATAAAAAATGAAACAAGCTGATTAATCTTGGTGAACAAACATTAATTAATGAAAAATAATTTTTATTTGAGCAGGAAAGTTTTGACTATTAATTGAGGTTAACGGACGCATGCGTATTAGTTATTTAACTTAATTTTTTATTAAATTTTCTTGTAAATAAATAAATGAATGTAAACATATAGGTTGCTTTTAAAAAAGAATAAAATTATTTATTAATTAACATTATATTGCATAATTATTTAAACAAAAGCGCCATCTATCCACTCTTTTCTCAACGAAATCAATTAAATGATTTAGTTATCAAATTGATAAATAATTATATTAATAAAATATATATAAAATTTCAAATATTACTATGTAAATAAAAAGAAATTTAGATTTATATACCATGGAATAAAATATTTATAATATAAACTACATAACCTCAATTGTAATTTTTTGACAGATCTTATTTTTCAATTAAAACTCAAAAAAAGCTTGTTAAATATGATTTTTATTGTTCAAAAGTTACATTCAAGTGGTATAAAAAATGAAACAAGCTGATTAATCTTGGTGAACAAACATTAATTAATGAAAAATAATTTTTAAATAAGCACAAGTAATCGAAGTTAAATCGCGAAATCTATCAGTTAAAGTTAATCTAACAATGTCCTCTATCTTCGACTCGCTTCCTAGGTGCGGCTTTGATGATATTATCAACACGAAGAATCATTTCGGCAGCTTCGCTTGCCGATAAAAGTACTTGACGTTTAACAACAAAAGATTCAGTTATTCCTAATTCTTTCATATCTCCGACAACTCCTTTATCCATATTTAAACCAAATGTACGTTTTCCCAAAGCGTGAGCAGCTCTTAATTCGCTTACTAATTGGGCTGAGTCGTAACCTAAAACATTATTGTTTTAAAATATATTTTATAAATTTATTTTTAAATTAATTTTACCTGCATTATCAGCAATAATTGTAGGTAATTGTTGTAAAGCTCTAGCAAAAGCTTCCATAGCTACAGATTCTTTACCAGGAGTTTTAGCAGCTGCTTCATAAACAGCAACAGCCATCAACATTTCGCTAGATCCACCACCATAAACAATCCTACTCTCTTTAACTGTAGCAGCCAAAACGCATAAAGCGTCATGTAAAGATCTATCAGCTTCGTCAATAATTTGTTGTGTAGCCCCGCGGATAACAACAGTACAAGCTTCGCCCAAAGCAACACCCCCAAATCGTAACAGAATATCTTCCCCAATCATAACCTGTTCGATAACCTCACAAGTTCCCAATTTAACTAAATCGGGGTTATCAAAAGTTGAAACGATTTCGCCTCCAGTAACCAAAGCTAAACGTTCGATTCCATCGAAATCGGCATGTTCGATAGCCATAACTCCAGCATCAGCAAATAATTGTTCAGGGTAGTTATAGATGAGTTGACGATTGATAAAAACGTTACAATTATGTTTAAGGATTTTACTAACTTTATCTTTCATTTTTTCTTTTTCCGCTACTTCTAACTCGGCTATTTTCGCCATTGAATCAACTTTAATATGAGATCCAAACACTTTAATTTTATCGGTATCCATTGGGGTATTTGCGATTAAAATTTTCGCATTTTCAACCCGTTTAGGTTGATGCACCCCAGGTTTTTTATCTAATAAGAAACCATCGTCTAGAAATGAATCTTCTAAGGTTCCCCCTCTTTTCTTAATCAATTGGATGGCTGCTAAATCGCCGGATCCTTTTAAACGCAAAATCGCGTCAACAGCTAATTTAGCAAAATGTTCTTTGTGTTGAGACAAAATTTTCGAACTTAACGTTGTACGCGCTATATTCATCAGATCTTCACGAAACGCCTCCAAATTATTACTATTATCTCTTGAAGCTTCTAAAAGAGCATTCCTCGCGATATCCGTTGCTTTACGCCAACCGGATATTATCGTTTGTGGATGAATTTTTTGATCTACCATTCGTTCCGCTTCTTTTAATAATTCGGAAGCTAAATATAAATTATTATAAGTCCAAAGGATTTCACGCACGGTGTTAATTAAACTAAAACTAGAACTATAGAGCATCATTCGGGATTAGCCGTGCGTCTTCAGACTAGTTTTAATTGTTATTCAGCGCTACATTATTGTATATTTTTATTGAACGAAAAGTAAAACTAACACTATACCTAGAACTAGAATCATTTGGGTTTAGCCGCACGTCACCAAAGACGGCTAAACCCGAATAATTATGGTTCTTGGCCTAGCGATGTATAACAATTAAAACTAGAACTAACACTAGACCTAGAACTAGAAAGTTTCGGGTTAGCCGTGCGTCTTCAGACGCTAGAACTTTCTAGTTTTAGGTCTAGGGTTAGTTCTAATTACTAATTATCATTACTAATTGCCAAAGAAAACTTCATGGTATAATTAATGTTTGTAAACAAAACTAACCTTACCTCACATTCCTTCACGCTATAATTGACATTACAAAAGAAAACTTCACGCTATAATTGCCATTACTAATTGCCAAAGAAAACTTCATGGTATAATTAATGTTTGTAAACAAAACTAACCTTACCTAACATTCCTTCACGCTATAATTGACATTACAAAAGAAAACTTCACGCTATAATTGCCATTACTAATTGCCAAAGAATACTTCATGGTATAATTAATGTTTGTAAACAAAACTAACCTTACCTAACATTCAGCGTCTGAAGACACAGGGCTAAACCCGAAACTTAAAAATATACAACTTAGCGCTGAATAACAATTAAAACTAGAACTAACACTTGCACTAGAACTATACTCTGTTTTTAAACCAGGAGGAGTAAACGCGAAAGTCAGATTTACACTGGAAAAAATCACCAGAAAATATCACTAGATATTTTGGCGGTAAATTTAAATTAATAATTATTATTTATTTATTTACTTATTATTGTATTTATTTTCGTTTGTTATCGTCAACACTATACATACAAATTAACATTGAAGTTATGAGTGTATTTATTTCAAAATATAATAAAAAAGGGTTTAAGAACACAAAATATACAATAATGACACGAAACTGTCGAATTATCAATTACCTAACCTTCAAATTCAAAATCAAAATTCAAAATTGCCTGTGTGTGAACCTTCCTCGCATTCAACCAATCACGTGCAAGGTCAATCTGGTGACAAATTTAAAATACTTCTCCTGGTTTAAAAACAGAGTATAGAACTAACACTAGACCTAGAACTAGAATCATTCGGATCTTTTTTCGATAGTTTATACTTTCAAGAACATAATATTAAAATTGCAAAGTCGGATAACAAATTGTTTTAGAATAGTAGCCTTCTAACTACCAACCTCCCGCAAGTCAAAAACATATTATTCTATAGTCCGCCTATTATTTGTTATTATTAAATGGAAGTGCCTTTCTCGGAAGTACTGGACTGTACCGTGCAATAAAAAGTCGTAAAAACTCGTAAATTTTTTTAAGGAAAGTTATAATGGTTTGCTCTGGCACTTTGCTAGAACGCACCTCCACAATGGCTTCAAAACTATCGAACTTGCCAAATTTTCTGGCTGTTTCCATTTTTAACGATGATTTTCAATATATTTTGAAAATGTTTCGAGTAATGGAAATCACTATTAGTCCAATTGCAAATGAATATGCGAACGATGAAGATGATGTCAGAATTTATCAAGCTAATTTACGTCACCAAGCGGCATCAAAGGAGGGTAGGGCTGCTCGAAAAAAAAGCTTTATCAGCTCAGCAGGCGTTTTTTGACACAGAGAAGGGTCGATTATATGGACCGAAGGAATAGCGAAGTGACATTTCTTATGGTAAATATCATCTTATCGATAGTTAAAACTACGCGTTTTTCTCAAAATGGCATTTTTAAAATTTGCTACAGTTCTAACTCAAAGACAAATTATCCGATTGACTTGAAATTTTATCAGAGTATTATAAACACGTTTTATTGTTGGATTGGATGAAAACTGTCGATTTGACATCGAAAAAACGGTGATTTTTTACAGAAAAATAAAAGTTTTTCTTCAAAACTCCGCCATTTTGTAAAATCTCAATATTTCCCTAAAATCATAGGTTATATAGTACGGAGAATACCTTCTAGTTTAACATCGATATTTGATTTTCATTTTAGGTACTGAATCGACTGTTATCGTTGCAGCAGTGGAGGAACTTTTTTATGAGTGTTTCAGCGCACATAAATTCTTTAGCAATTACACTGCTATCTGGGTTGCCAGATCTAACGATTTATCCTGAGATCTCATGATATTACCTTTAATCTCACGATTGGACATGTACTTCTCGCGATTTTATTACAAAAATAATATAATAATCAGTGTTAATAAAATCATAGCATTTTCAACTTGAATTGTAGGTTACTGTAAAGTTCTCTATTAGTTACATCTATTCGTCGCTAGATGGCGCTAAGAAATTACTTAAACTGTAATATTTTATTTCCTTTTAATTATTTCACTTTTATACACAAACGTTGTCTAAACTATTTTACCTGAATCCTATGCCTATATATAACACATATTATTAAAACGGAGTGATTTGTAAACAAATTTCAACATTTCACGATTTTTTATGATATGGCTCATGACATTCTATGTGTGCAACCCTGGCTGGTATAGCCCCTTAAAGCATCCATATGATACTATTTGTTACTAAATATTCTTTTTATGTCTCAATATTAGAATATAGGTGCAATTTTCACCAGTTATAATTAATTTTTTTCCCCAATTTTTTATAGAACTATTAAACAGGTAGAAAAATAAAAAAATCTCTTGTTTTTTATTTTTTTATGACCCCTCCTTTAACAACTCCCATTGTAAATCACTGGAAAGATGTTTTTTGTTTTCCCCTTTTTTTCTAACTGGAGTTCTTATAAAAAATGACCTGGTCACTTGGAACTTATTTCTAAAGAAGGTTGCAACATGGCATCCAAAACATCAAACACTCCTTCAAAAGACACACGGCTTAACCCGAAAGTTTCTAGGTCTAATGTTAGTTCTAATGATAGTTCTAGTTTTAGTTTAATATAAATTGTTAATTTGGAAATTCAATAAATAATTAATAAGAAAGAGTATTTTTACCTAATACTGTAACAGAAGTGGTTCCATCCCCAACTTCATCATCTTGAACTTTTGACATATCAACTAAAATCTTTGCAGCTGGGTTATCAACGCCCACAGATTTTAATATTGTAGCCCCATCGTTTGTAATTTCGACACTTCCAGCACTTCTCCCAAAGGAAACGAGGATTTTATCCATCCCTTTTGGCCCCAAAGTGCTTTTAACCAACTCTCCTATAGCGATAGCCCCCACGAAACTTGAGAGACGTGCAATTTCTCCTTTTTCCTCTTCGGCTTCATGTTTCAGCACCCTGACGGGGTTTAAAGAAACCTAAAGAAAATAAAAAGATTTATGTTGAATTAAAGGATGCGGTTATGATGGGATTTATCGAAAATTGAGGTAGAAAAGGGGCAAACCCACGCGGTTTTCATGAAAAGCCGGCGTGAATTAGCCTCATGACACACCTGAACGGGCAGCATCGTTTAAATCACTTAATCGGGGGGGTTTTTTTAAATTTTATTGTCAAACTTGATGGATAGGGTGAAAATTTTAATTTTCAAGTACTCACCATGGTTACTTTGTTGATATATTATTAAAAAATAATTCAATTTGAGGATTGAGAACTTAACCAAATTTTGACGCACGCGATGAAACTTCCAGAAGTTTAACTAATCCCTTAACAGCGCCATCTATCATCGTATAAAAAAAATATTTTTTATGTATTAATTCGTTTATTATTTGATGATTTAAATGCGAATATGCATTAAGTTAATTATTTGGTTATTATTTTATTTTAAATAATTATAATAAGATGTTTAATAATAGATTTTATTAAAAAATATATCTGTTTTACCGACATAATAACATAACCTATAATAATAATCGAATAACAGAATTCATTCTTATGTACTAATTTATTAATTATTTGATGATTTAAATGCGAATATGCATTAAATTATTTATTTAGTTATTATTTGATTATTATTTTATTTTAAATAATTATAATAAGATGGTTAATAATAAATTTTATGAAAACAAAAACTGTTTTACCGATACAATAAGTACAATAACATAACCTCTAATTTGTGATGTCATGTGATTTTAGAAAAATCAATTACATTTTTAAGGAAATATAAGAAAATTATTAAAAAAATGCCACAAGGGAAGTTAAAAGTGAAATGTAAAGTACCTAAAGACGTCCAAAAAAAGAAAAAGCAAACAAAAGGGGTTGCTGTAACGAAAAGAAATAATTGCCCAATACAACCTAAAAAGAATAAAGGAAGTGAGTTGAATAAATTGAAGAAAATGGTAACGAAAACGGTGAATAAATCCGCTGAAGACGAGCTTAGAAGCAGGGCTATTCCCCAAAAGAAGTTATCAAATGTACAAAAAGCTGTAGCCGATTTAAATAAATAATTGTAAATAATATATGTACAGTGAATTTCACTTAAGATGCAGTATACAAAAATATATTGCTATAGAAATTAGGGGTTACCTAATTACTTGGTTCCACATACACTTTGTCCCACATAAAATGCAACATGTCAATATAATTTTACATTACAGTAAAACCTCCTTATGAGACCCACAGCTAAACCCAAATTTTTCTAGTTCTAGTGTTAGTTCTAGTTTTACACTAGGATTATCACTAGAACTAACACAAGACCTAGAACTAGAATCATTCGGGTTTAGCTGTATTGAGAGACATGCAGCTAAACCCAAATGTTTTACACTTGCACTGTCACTAGAACTAACATTAGACCTAGAACTAGAATCATTTGGGTTTAGCCGTCTTTAGAGACGTCTGGCTAATCCCAAATGATTCTAGTTCTAGGTATAGTGTTGGTTCTACATAGTAACAGTGCTAGTGTAAAACTAGAACTAGAAACATTCCGATTTAGCCGTCTTGAAAGGCGTGAGGCTAAATCCGAATGTTTCTAGTTTTAGGTCTAATGTTAGTTCTAGTAATAGTGGTAGAAAGCGCTAGTTAGCATAAGATATCACTATGTTGCATATTTTTATTGAACTAAAACTAGTCCTAGAACTAGAAAGTCTGAACTCAGAGTTATCATAACGACATCACCTTTTCCAAGCAAAACTTTTTTCCATTGCAAAACTACCCAATGCCTGTACTATTAAGCTTTGTTACATTTTATGTGGGACAGTGCAAGTGCCTAGTAGTTTCGTAACTATGGTTATTTGTACTACATTCATACATTACGAGTTATATGAAATTCCCGGTATATAAATGAATTAATATAAATGAACAAAAGAAAAAAACTGACAATTCCTTGTCATTCTCCCATAAAAATCCCAAATGACATTTTCTCTCATTCATCACAAATTAAAAAATCTTCAGTTGTATTCCTGAAAAAAACTCCTTCAAGTCACACAGTTTTGTCCTTTCGTGATCATCAATCGGTCATCAGTAAGTCAAGAATCAAATAACGTTCATCATCAGCTTGAAAAAAAAAATCGTTTGAAACTCGTTTAAAAGTTGCAAAGTTTAATTTTTTCGAAAAAAGTTGATTTTTTTTTTGAATAAACGCGGTAAACATCGGGAGCGCCATCTGCTCGCGTTTGTGTTAAAACGAGCGAAACTAAACCGACGATCGGCCATTTTACTTCGGCGCTTGCGCACAATCGCCCCAAAACTGATTCACGCTCACGCTCTTCCCTTCATTACCACTACGACGACGACGAGTTTTTGCGAAACACGACTCGCCTTTTGTGAGAAGAATCGTTAAAACGTTTTCAAGTGCGAGACACGCGCTTCGTAACTAATTTTGAAACATAGAGACAGCACGGAATAGTTTGTTGGTTTTGATCGTGTGGAAAGAAGATTCTATTAAAAAAAAGAGCAAGCAAACGCCAAACCCAGTAGAAGCCCAGGGTACACGACCCACAACACAAAAAGTACTGATTTGAAGTAATATGAGTAATGCACCCAACCACAATGGATCAGGTCTAGAGCAGCAGGTACGTTTTAAAACGGAAATTTTATTAGATTACTTCAAATTAATGTGGATTTCGATTTAAAAACGATTTTGCGATGTTCGTGTGATTTTTATACGATTTTTCTCAAGTTATTTTCTGTCGATTTCGTTCCGGAAAATGTGAACAATGGAGGTCGGCTATAGCACACGTTATCGATCGCATGCGTTTTAATCGTTACATCCTCCCTTTGACCTTAACAAATTAAACGAAAATCTAAGAAAAATGCCTTTAAAAAGGTTTAACATTTAATACTGGCAACAATTTTTTTATAATTATCCCACCGTGGAGTCGTAACTTAATATTCCTTCCTATTGTTATGTCATGTGTCATTTAGAACTTATATTGCTTGACCAGCGATTCCTAGAATAACGGAATTGCCGTTATCAAACTCTGATAGACTTGTTGTTTAGAGCTGCCACAATTCAGGAGATGTAATTACTAAAATAGCCATTGCAAGCGATTTAAAATCGCTAAGTGCGCATTATAATTGAAAAAATTCCACTGTATAAACACTAGCTTGGAAGGTTTTAATTACTATTTCCATTGGGGATTTATTATTATCGTTAGTACTCTTATATTAAAGAATATTAATAGATAGGGCTAGATAAAAGTGAAGCAATCATTTCGAGTTATTTGATATTAGATGTTGTGCTGCTAATGTTATTTAGGATTTAGATATAAGTAAAGGTATCAATTGGTTAATTTTTGAAATCAATATTAAGTAACTTAATCAATTTTAAACAAACCGTGATGATTAATACGAATTAAAGGTCTCTCAGAAAATTATAAATTCATCATATTCATACAAAATTAAGAATTATTTATGGAATTTAATTAATGAACTTTAAATGTGATTCATTATATTCTACATGCTGTATTTTTTTAAATAATTAAATCAAATTTAATTTTTTTTTTGACATGTCCTGTCATTTTTTACTTAGACATAACCTCAATTATCGTTTTTGGTTATAAAAATGACATTGACAGCTGCCAAAGAAAAAAAAAATCCTCAACATTGTGTTATTTTGATTGTAATCTCAACATATATGAAGGTAAGTTTACAGTTTTTGATGTATTTTTTAATTTAAAACTAAATTAAAGTATATTTCCTTTTTTTTTTACTCCTGGTGTTGTAGCAGATCCTTTCCATTACCAAATGGTCGTGGTATGCACTCCTATTTCTTAACATTTATATTATTAATACTGATTAATAATGAATAAAATGGTGAGTGAGGAAAGAGAATAATCAGATATTAATAAATGGTTACAAAGATGTTGTGCCTATGAGGAGAGAAATTAAAGGAAGAAGAACAATAACTTAATGAATGAGATAGCTATATTGTTTAATAATAAAGTGCATAAAAAGCTGAGTGAAATTGTACTTATTAAAGTTGTATTTATTGGTATTATAAACAAATTGATAATGTTGATGTTAATAAATCTGTGAAATATAGCTAGGAGCTTGGAAAGATTGTTAAAGAGTTAGTATGTTTAGGTTAAAAAGGGAAAGATATGACTTATTAAGGTTGATTAACTGTTTAAGATCCAAGTACAGAGTGATCATACTCTTGGGCACACAAGGTATTGTGTCAAAAAATCCCATTTTGACGCTGTAGACAACTCTCTGTCAGAAAAAATGATCATATTTTGATCTTTGATTTTATACTGTTTTTGTAAGAAATTGTTCCACCCTTCTCTCTTACCTGCCAACATCATTACCTCAATCTAGGACTTACCAACATTTTCCAAGATCTCTCTCACATTGTAGTTCCACTTGGCTTTCGGTCTTCCAAGTCTGTAGAAGATATGAAAAAAATATGATGAACTGCTTGAGTGCAGAATCTCACTCCAAAACATTTATGTTGTAAAACGATAACAATTAACGGTACAGCTTTTTTGGCTGTTATTATCGTTAATTACGGATTTATACCAATTTTGTATATTTTGTATGATTGGAGTAAACATTGGTCAACAAGTAGAATAGCAAACGCACGTCCGAAACGAGATCCGCATGAAAGCGCGCACTCGATTTCACAAGAAACACAAACAATGCAATACAAAGACGAAACGACGAACGAGCTGGAAGAAGGACTCCTTTATGATTCTGGAATAACAGATTAAATGTAAATACTTGGACTTCAAAGTTTCCATGACATAAAGTTTTTAATTTTGGTCGATTCCTCAAAATCTTAGACATAAATCGACATTTATATTAATATTTACACTAAATATAGGAATGCATCTGAATATTTTCTATTTAAAAACAACTTCTGGTTCTGTTTTATTTTACATTGTTTTCATTTAGATTAAGTTACTGTAACATGATGCTATGAATATTATTGTATGTATAAAGAGATTTATAATAAAAACGTCACACATTTGAACATGGCTTTTAAAGGAGCCTACAAAATTTCCTTTCAAATCCTTTTCTTACCTTCAAAATAAAATTGAATTGATTTTGTATTGTAAGGATTATAACCACGGAAATAATGCAACTTTTTTAAATTTTTTCATCATCAACTACTAATTCCATCATGATTATGGTATTTCGTGATAATTTGTCGAATTTATGTCTTCAAATCGATTAAATCATATTATAATGGAATGACTAATTTTATGTTTTCAAAAGAAATTGACATTGAATCACCAAAAAAATTATCAGTTTTATTATCAAATAAGGCTCTCTTATTTTTAGTTGACTGCTTGAGAACATCTTTCCAGTCTTCACTATTCCGCGCACTCTTCTATGCTCTTACTCCTATTACAATTATTAATATTCTTCAGAGTGATGAATCCTTCTTGTAGCTCCCGTTGCGTTCTCCCAATGGTCACTATCTCTTCTGCGTACTCAGTTAATGGCCCCTTTTAGGTTCAACTGCGAATAGATTGCAAGACAAGGCATTTCCATGTTTTAGTCTTCTAACCAGTCTTTCCAGTCTGGGAAATGCGACTCGATGAGAAGTGGTGGCTAATGTAACTAAGTACTTACAAGCCTATTTAATGAAGTAAACGTGATCGGGTCAATATCATTTAGCTATCTACTCTCCTTTAAAAAAAAAGATGACGTGGATCCTCAATATAAATTAATACTTTAGAAAGTGCGGAACTAAAGGTTTTGTGGTTTTGGCCAAAGTTCAACCACTAAGGCTATCATCTATTACCCTGATGAAACTCCAATCTCGAATGTCGCACAATTTAAATATATGTGATCTCTAATATCGAGGATGGACTGTCCTGGACTGTCAGATACTAGAGATTGAAACCTCAACTGAAGATGGTTCATCTTCTTAGTACTTCACTTTTGACTCTTTAATCAGTAATTTTCAAATTGGGCAGTTCTATTACATTTTGTATGAAAATGATGAATACAATTTTTAATATGAATGTGAATTTGTACGAAATAATAATTTTATTTTAACTTTCTAGTTTGCTGGTCTGGACTTGCAGAGCCGCAGCGGCGGCGGCAGGTACATACCCCCGCATTTGCGCAACAAGCTCCAAAGTCAGCCGGACACTAACGCCGACAAGGATCGTGGAGATACTCGCAACAGCGGTGGTAGAAATTCGTATAGTAATAGAGGAGGACGTGATAATCGCGAACGTCAAGCCGATTTCTCCAGCTTTAACACTAGGTATGTATTTTAAGTTTTCAATCGCACCAAACTCGTTTTCGTACTCTGCGTTCGTTTGGTTATTAATCGGTTTTATTTAAATATGTGAATTTATAGAAAAGATTTTGGTAGATCCCGCGGTGGTCGAGATCATTACCAGAATGGTGATGTGTTCGAGAGTCGCGAAAGCTGGAATCGCGGTGGCGGAGGAGGCGGTGGTGGCGCTGGAGGCGGACGATATCCCGACCGCGAGCGCGACCTGCCCCGTAACGATCGCTGGCAGGAACCGGAAAAACAACAACCCTCACGAGACAACGGCCGTTGGGGTGAAGATCGTCGCGAGAACAACTCGCGCTGGTCAGACCGCGACGGTCGCCGCAACGACCACGACTGGACGGTGCCGTTGCCGCGCGACGAACGTATTGAACTCGAATTATTTGGCACGGGAAATACGGGCATCAACTTTAGTAAATATGAGGATATACCCGTCGAGGCGACCGGCGATAAAGTCCCCAGACACATTACATCTGTAAGTAATATTTTCATCTACTCTATTTCATAAACTTATTTTTATCTTTTATTTTTAGTTTGAGGAAGTACAGTTGACAGAAATAATTCGCCAAAATATTGTTATGGCAAGATATGATACACCAACTCCTGTGCAAAAATACGCAATCCCAATCATTTTGAGTAAAAGAGATGTGATGGCGTGCGCGCAAACCGGTTCCGGAAAAACGGCCGCGTTCCTTGTGCCCATACTCAACCAAATGTACGAACGTGGACCCCCGAACAACTTGCCGCGCAGCTACCGCCGTAAACAATACCCTCTTGGGCTCGTTTTAGCGCCGACGCGCGAATTAGCCACGCAGATTTACGATGAGAGCAAGAAATTCGCCTATAGATCCAGAGTCAGACCATGTGTAGTGTAAGTTAATCAAAAATTAAAATTAATTAATAAATAAAAAGATGAATATGATGATTCTGTAACATTTTAGTCTTCTTTTCCCAACAGAATTAAAATTAATGTTGATTTTTATAATCTGATTTTCATAAAATTTGATTTTTTTTAATTAATTTATTTTAAAACTTTTTAATAAAAGAAGCTTTGTTGTAGTTATGGTGGAGCTAATGTAGGTGATCAAATGAAGGATTTAGACCGCGGGTGTCACTTATTGGTGGCGACTCCAGGTCGACTTCTCGATATGATTGAGCGAGGTAAAATTGGGTTAGATTACTGCAAGTACCTGGTGTTGGACGAAGCCGATCGTATGTTGGATATGGGTTTTGAAGTCCAAATCAGAAATATTCTCGAAAAGGAGCCGATGCCGCGCACTGGCGATCGCCAAACTCTCATGTTTTCGGCTACCTTTCCCCACCCCATTCAGATGCTTGCTAGAGATTTCCTGGATAATTATATTTTCCTTGCCGTCGGTCGTGTCGGTTCTACGTCCGAAAATATTACTCAAAAAGTAAGTTGATCTGTAAACAACTCTACCTGATAAAGTCTCAATAAGATTATTAACACTACAGAGTGATTCACATAAGAACCGACACAGAGCAGGGACATGTAGAGGACAATAAATTACTGATTGAACTGTCCCTCACCGATTTTGTTATAATTTGGTATAGCGATAGTATGGGTCAAAATAAGGTTTACGCATTTTTTTATACATGCTAATAAAGCCCCTGGGGCGAGTTATAAGGGTTGGAAATCGGGGTAAATGTAAACTGATATTCATTTTTAAAGAGCTTTTCATTGATATATCACACATATATTTGAGGGCTTCAGGGGGTAAGCTACCCCTACTTTTTTGGAGTAATTTAAAAACTACCAAGTCGATTTTGGCGGCTATAGTACGTTTAAAAATATTAATTACGTGTTTTTTTTAATTTGCCTCTGACCATCCGTTGCAAAGTTAGGGGGTGTAATAGATAACCCCTTTCCTTAAGAATAATGTGATTAACCTGTTATATTTTTGAACAATATTTTAAAGAAAACCGTAAATTAGTTGTAAATTAAGGTTGACACTGTAAAATAAGCCCTATACGACATTTAAGGGTGGCTGGGGTTAACTACCCTAAAAATAATTTTTTTTGGGAGTATTGTTTATCGATTTTGGTGCAATTTAGCACGATGATTTTTTTATATGTTAACACTTTACCGACCGCTAGCGATTCAGCGGGATACGCACATCCGACCGGCTCGGCGTGACTATATAAAAGCCGATTAATAGGCGATCGGTCGGTAAGCGTCGGCAACAAAAAGCCGATTAATAGGCTAGCGGTCGGTAAAGTGTTAAGTAGTACTTTAGAAAGAACATATAAGGGTTAACAGTTTGGTGTAGAAAATATATTTGCGCTAATAATTTTCCTACTCATACACAAAAATCTTGAATATACATTTAAGTTTTTTTAAGAACTCAAATATATATTCAATGAGGTTCACTATCCTTATTCTACATATTTAAATAACACACAAATTAAGATAATTATAAAATATTTATTAATAACGAGTTAAAAAGCAACTGAAAAAATGGTAGAATATTACAAATTGTATAAACATTATTAGTTTAATTTTTTTAAATTAATTTTATTCAATGTGTTGTTGACTACACAATTCAACCCATCATATTTGCAGATGGAAAGCTACTTTCTCCTAGCTGTTATAACTTATGCATGGTGTAAACAATCTTTGTGTTCTTCCATGTTTTTCATTATTGCCAACAATACATTGAATAAAAATGTAGTACAATTTGTGATAAACCATTTTTTGTCAGTTACTTTTAACTCATTATTAATAAATATTTATACATACATGTAATTATCTCAACTTTTGTGTTATTTAGATAGAGATAGAGTATGGATTGTAAAGCTCATTGAATATGAATAGAAAGTTCTTTAAAAAAAAACTTGAATATATAAAAATATATTTTCTATCCCAAACTTCTAACCCTTATAAGTTCTATCAAAAGTACTACTTAACGTATAAAGAAAAAACTTTCTCGTTTTCATAAAAAACTTAAATAACTAAAGACACTTATTTCGTAATGTTACTTAAAATAAGCTAAAATTCAGCAGTCGGCTATGAAATTGTACGTCAAACTTGACAAATAGAAAATGACAATGTTTTTTAAAAAATAATAAGAGTAAAAAAAGTTACCCCCCTCAATTGGTCTCAACTTGCTACCAATTAATACCTTCGGTACACTCATAACTTATACCAAATTTGGTTTTTCTAGCTTAATGTATTGCGAAGATATTCAATGTTTTAAAAATTTAAGACCCAACTTTGAAGGCATATAACTCCTCAGGGGTACAACTTAGTATAGAGAAAAGTTGCGTTAAATCATCTTAATTTATTTTCCTTTACATGTCGCTGCTCTGTGTCGGTTCTTATATGAATCACCCTGTATATGATGACCAATTTCAAGTTAATAAATAAATAATCACTGATTGAAACGATGAAATGATTTAAAACTTTTAAATAAAATTATAATAATATTTTAATGTTTAGGTTTTTTGGGTAGAAGAACATGATAAACGTTCTGTACTGCTAGACATGTTAAACGCAGCGGAATTAACGCAACCTTCAGCCGAAAGTTTAACCCTTGTTTTCGTTGAAACGAAAAAAGGTGCCGATTCCTTGGAAGAATTCCTGCACAATGACGGGTATCCGGTTACATCGATCCACGGGGATCGTTCGCAACGAGAACGCGAAGACGCTCTGCGTCAATTCCGTTCGGGAAATACCCCAATTTTAGTGGCGACATCCGTAGCCGCTAGAGGTCTTGATATTCCGCACGTTAAACACGTAATCAATTTCGACTTGCCTTCTGATGTTGAAGAATACGTACATAGAATCGGTAGAACTGGTCGTATGGGAAATCTAGGTAAAAAATAAAATTAATAATAAGTTTTTTTTTATTAATTTTATATTAATTTAGGTTTGGCGACTTCATTCTTTAATTCACGCAATCACAATCTTGCGTCGGCTTTATTGGATTTATTGGCGGAAGCCAAACAAGAAATTCCGAATTGGTTGGAAAGTGTAGCAGCAGATGGACGTAGCGCAAGTTCCGGACGCAGGGGCGGCAAGGGCCGTTTCGGTAGTGGAGGATTCGGGTCAAGAGATTATCGTCAACAATCGGGGGGTGGTTCGAACACCAGAAATCAAAGATCAAACGGAAATAGTGGTGGATATGGACATGACGGGTACAATGGTGGAGGTAATTAGTTGTGTTAATTAATTAATTATACAAGAAGTATAATATATTCTTGTGTAGGATATTATGGAAACGATAGAGGTGGAAATTATGGTGGAAACTACAACTCGAACAGCACCGTACAAGACTGGTGGGATAATTCGGGTGATGACAACGCGAGTTCTCGCCGTTAATTGAAACGTTCATAGAAACGTACATTTGAAGCTCCCCCTTCTCGTATAACTCATACACATGTACAACATTACGCCTGCTATTACAACTAAAATAACAAGTTAAATAACAACTTAAAAAATACCAAACAAACACTTCTATTACTACTCCCCTTTAGTTTGAAAGAAAAGAAATGGAAACGATCCAGGATGTATCAATTGATTTTGAAAGTTAGAACGAACCCCCCAATGCAACTTGTTATATTTTAGGGCATTATAATTATTTTTTAAAAATGATAAAAAGCCGACTTTATTTATCTAATTTGTCATTTTCTTATTTTTGAGTTAATCCTGGATTTTTTTTGGGAAACAAAAATGATGTAGGATGATCCTCATCCTGAAAATATTAAAAACAAAAAAAATATTTACGGAATAATTATTGTAATTGTAGGTGATTAGAGTCACGGAAATCATCGTAATTTTAGTAACAAAAAAAATTAAAAAAGTAATCAGACTGTAACGATTTAAAAAAAAATTATGTTCCCTTTTGCGCACACAAACACCTTTATAAAACATACATAAATGTAACATATACAATATCTGACCCCTCCTTTTTAATTTAGATTTTTTCGTTTCGTTCTTTCATAATAAGTTTAATTTTAAACGATTCGTTTTCTTTCTCCTTGTTACGTTTCAAAAATGAATGATATATTTTGCTATCCCCTCAAAAAGAAGATGATAGCATCGCGATTACACGAAAAATTACGGTAAATAATTACCGATAGTGAGAAGTTAACACAAAAAAAAGATTAAAAATTGACTGCGACGCGACAAATCGCTCCTTAAATAACGATTTAATTCACCTCCAACCGAACCGCGATAAAAACATAAATAAAAAAATATAGTGTAAGACGTGGGATCTTATTTATGACCGCCACAGTTGCAGTTACAGCTGTTTCGACGTACAGAGGCGCTAAGGAAATTCTGCAAACGCACGACTGTGATATTAACTGATCTTATAATTACGTATATGTAGTTGTAAAAAAAAAAATAAAAAAATAATGTGGTTTATGGACCGCGTAGGTCTGAAAAAGATAAAGAAATAAATACAAAGCTTAGTTATAACGATTGTTACTGATGGCAGTCGATCCGTGATTTAATTTACGGAAACCTTCTTAGCGCGAGGCGTTTAAATTTGATACAATGAAATAAAAATTAAAAAGGGAAATTAATGAGAATTAAAATAGGATTATCCTTTTTACAGGACGGAACAAAAATTTAATGAATATAAATAATTATTAATATGGTAAATAAAATAAAACGGATTTTCTTATCAATGTTCTTAAAAAGAGTTAGTGTGGGCACCTATTTTGTGCCTTATTTTATTTTTTATTGGTATAAAGTGATTTATAATTAAAGGATTAAATATTTTTAGATTTTTAGTATTATCACTTTCTTTTTGAACCCCTAAAAATGTTATAGTTTGGTTTAAAGATGATCTAAAATTATTTTTGCATCAAAAATATCTTTTCCAGAACACTCTCAAGGACTGCCAAATCTCAGTATGAAAACTGTAATAATTTTGAGAGAAAACAAATTCACCTGGACAAGTCAAAACAAGAATCATACAGTTCTAAATTCATTCCCCCACTTATAATATTTAATTCTTTACGTCTATATAAATCACTTAATATCGTATTTTGAACCACCAGTGATTGTAAATAATGACAATTTCCTTAAAAAATTAGTCATTATTAACAACAAAGAAAGAAAATCATTATAATTTTTCTTTATTATTTTTTTTTTTTTAGTTAGTTATTGAAATAGTTAAATTTTACAAACTAATTGTTCCCAAAAACTGATTATTATAATTAATATTTGATCCTCATTAGCACTTTATTTATTTAATTATGTGTATTTCTGAATCTGTGATTCCCCTCATTTTATCATTATTTACAACTAAAGCTTAAAAAGAGTTAATTTCGATTGCAATTCTCGGACTAGTCTATCTCGAATCACAGTAGTTTTCTAATAAAATGGGCTATAACGTTTATTTATAGCCTTGTAGATATAGATTAGTTTTTTTTAATGTTTATTTTTTATGCCTCTAATACACATATTTATTTTTTATTTATAAAAAATTAACTCGTTAAAAACTTTTAGTGCCTTCCTAAAAGTTTTTTTGATTCACCACAGATTGAATCGAGTGATGAGCGTTTTTATGAGGATCAATTGAATAGTGTGGATTTAAATCAATTGTATGGAAGATTTAAAAACTTTGAATCGTCCATAAAAATTGTTCTCTTTTTGGTTTTATTAAAAAATTAGTTATGAATTGTGTTAAGATGCGTATACTCCCTGTGATAATGGTTAGAAAATTCGTGCCTATTCTAACGGAACCGTGTCCGAAGTGTTCGAAAATGAATCTTCTTGTAATGAACGTTTGCTTTGCCGTTAGAGAGAAAGACGAGTTGGGTCAATAATGATTAATTAACCGATAAATCAATGGTGAATATTTGTGCATATTGAGCTGTGACTGCAACCGGATGATTGCTCGGGCGTTTTTTTGCGGGCCATAAACCGTGAATATCGACAGAAAAAAACGGATAGAGAAAAACGAAAGTACGTTATTGTTGTAGGTTTGTTAGTTAAAAAAGGGATGGCAAAATGCTCTACTTGCTCTATTAGGCATATTTGCTGGGAGTATTTAATAATTTAATGCATTTAAACATAATACGTTCTGATAGAGATTTGTCACTATGACAAGAATAACTAATAAAAAAATCTATTGGAAATATTGCGCCTTTTATTTATTATTTATCTCATTATTTTCCATTAAAATAAATCATTAAATAAATTAGAGCAATTTTAAAATTTTGATTAAAGTATATTGGGTTGCCTATGGTGCATTATAATTATTTTTATACGCATTATTTATATACAAAATTAAGAATTACCTTATTAATTAATACATCCTTTTTTATTTATTTAGAATTAATCACTAAATCGATTGATTTAATTAAAATTTAATAAATCATTTTATTTTAATTAAGTTGGCAACACTGAAATTTAAACAACCCGACACACCATTGCTCGTGTTTACATCGGCGCTTTTACTTTTAACATTTTCTTCCTGAATCAACTTTAAATAATGAGTGGTGACGGAGACCAAACGGAACACTTCGACACGCTTTTACTTTCAATAGCACAACATCACCCCCAAGGACCATCGGAAGTAAGAAAAAATGACAAAAACTGTATCCTAACCTCAAATTTAAATTTGCTACTTTAGCTTTTAGATACTTTCGTAAGCTTTTTGGGGCGAAAAACCGATTTTTTCACCGGTGGTGCGGAAGGAGCATGGGAGAAGGTATTATTAATCGAATCAATTTAATATAAATTAAAAAAATTATTCTTTTTTATAGTTAGTTATGGGTACTTTCCGGAAACACGAAAAAATAAGTAGGGCGGCTCACGAAGAAGTTTTAAAAGAGAAGAAGGAAAGGGAGGCTAAAAAACAAGCAGCGAAAGAAAAACAAAATGTTGTTAAACCTGCTGAAATTAAGGAGTTAACCGACGAAGAAGCTGATCAATTACAGAAAGAATTAGATGCTGAGAAGACTAATAAAGTGCCGGATCCACCAAAAATATCTGAAAAAATTGCAGAGGATGAAGAAGAATCTGAAATCGGAAAATTAAAACCTAATTCTGGAAATGGATGTGATTTGGAAAAGTATAAATGGACTCAAAGTTTGCAAGATATTGAGGTAAGTTATTTTTAATGTAAGATTTTAAAATGGTGGGTGGAATATTAAAAAATCAATAATGGTTGATTGATCAATAATTTTGTTTACACTTGGTAATGCACTCAATCAATATGATTGAAATTAATTAACTTTAAAGGTAACAAATACAATGGTGTAAGAATAGTGTGTAATTTGGTTCTAAACAACAATACATTTGTGTTTATTGCTGAAAATTGTAAAAAAAATCAACCATGAAGATTATAAACACCTTCAGATGTGAGTTAGGTTTCATTTGAAGTTTTTGAAAAGTAAGTAACATTTCCAAATGAGGCAATGAGCTAGAAAAAGCCATAGGAACATGGTATATCTACCTCAATCAACATATGCTTAATTGTATCCCAATTGATTTGGATGGTAGATAAAATGAAACTGATTTAAAGATTTAAATATTTCCAATTTTTTATTATTTATCACAGGAAATATTTAATTATTTTCTTGAATAATAACTTAATTATTTACAAAATATAAATAGTAGTACCTAAAATTTTGGTAATAAAACATCCACAATATTAATCGATTAAATAGAAATAAAATAATTTAAAATAAAAATAATTCTGAATAATGCATAAAATATAAAATTAATAATATGGTATTTACTACTTATAAAAATTTAATTAAATATACTGGTTGTTTTGTACGTGCTTCATGGCTGTGTCATCAGTACTGTTGTCTTCTGGCTCTCACTAAATTAAATAAAGTTAATTTTATTATGTTTTATATGAAATTAAATAATGAAACTTACTCTCCATAAACAGAATACCTCCTAAAATGCCTAAGGTAATGAGGGCAGACATCGTCAGTACAAGAACGCTCAGTCGATGTTTTTTGCAAAAACTTCTTGGTTTAACCGCCGGTCTCGTATCGACATTAATTACCGTAAAATGCATCGAACTGGCAACTGACACACTATCCGGGTCGGGTTTTTTCAACCGATCTTGAGAATCCAACGAAAATAACGGATTATCGTGTCCGTGTCGTTCCAAGTACAGTCTGAGATTGTCTTCTTTCGTTGAATTTTGAATCTCATCGTTATGAATTTGCGCTAAATTCGCTGCCGTTAATAATAAAGATCCGGACCTTGCGCTCTACATTAATATTTATTATTAATAAATTTTTTTTAATTGATTTAGTCGACTTACTTGAGTACTGTTTTTACTGGATAAGGATCCTTGACTACTTTTTGAGGGTCGAGCTAGTGTTGGTCTTGGTATATGCCAACTCTGTTCGAGTTCTGCGGATATCTGAAAAAAAAATTCATATATTAAGAAAATTAAAATAATTGTAAAGGGGAAGAAAGTAAAAAAAATAAAAATTATTCTTCGGTTTGTTTAAGCATCCAAATAAGGTTAATTATATTGTACCTAAAGGCGAGATACGCGTGAAAAAGTTGTCGCCGCCTCAATAACACTTGATTCGCGATCTGACGTGACCAGAAAAAAAAACGATAAATTTTAAATTCAACCACTCCCCAATGCCGCACGACTACTCGTGCTCGCATTTTTTTTTCTCTCCCGTTTAATTTTATTTTTATTTTATTCTTATACACCGTTCTTGTTTCACGTTCGACCTTAACCGGGCAAATTGGAGTTTGCAAAATTCAATAGGTTGTGATTACCTTAGAAAAGTCGTTCGATTTGATTGTTTCCTTTTTACCCAAGGTTCCTGAAATATTTATTTGATTTTTTTTTCTTTATTTTCGTTTCGTTTTGTTCAAGGCGGTATTGAATTGGAGTGATTATTGTGATTGTTTCGGTTGTACTTTTAATTTTTTTTTTATTACATGTACACTGATTGTGAGTTCAAGTTCTTTTCTTCGAAGGTTATTTGTTTAAGATACATTGATTAATTATCAATTTGTATCATTAACGTTAATAAACGAAGACATTCTTTTAAACGAAAAGAATATAAATATCTATATAGTCTTGAGATACATGGTTAAACCTGAATGATTCTAGTTCTAGGTCTAGTGTTAGTTCTAGTTTTGGTTCAATATAAATATACAAGAATCTAACGCTGAAAAAAATTAATTTCTCTTAAGACGGCTAAACCCGAATTTTTGTAGTTGTAGATTTAGTGTTACTTCTACTTTTAATTCAATAAAAATATACAACAATCTAGCGTTGAATAACAATTTAAACTGAAACTAACACTAGACCTAGAACTAGAATCATTCGGCTTTAGCCGTCTTATGAGACGCACGGCTAAACCCGAATGATTCTAGTTCCAGGTTTAGTGTTAGTTCTAGTTTTACACTAGTACTGTTACTATGTACTATCTAATGTTAGTTCTATTTTTAGTTCGATAAAAATATACAACAATCTAGCGTCGCATAACAATTAAAACTAGAACTAACATTATATCTAGAACTAGATCATTTGGGTTTAGCTGCACCTCTCAAAAGACGGCTAAACCTGAATGATTCTAGTTCTAGGTGTAGTGTTAGTTCTAGTGACAGTGAAAATGTAGTACTAGAACTAACACTCTACCTAGAACTAGAATCATTTGGGTTTAGCCGCACGTCTCTAAAGACGGCTAAACCCGAATGATTCTAGTTCTAGGTATAGTGTTAGTTCTACATAGTAACAGTGCTAGTGACCTAGAACTAGAAAGTTGCGTCTGAAGACGCACGGCTAAACCCGAATATTTCTATTTCTAGGCCTAGTGTTAGTTCTAGTTTTATTTCGATATAAATATACAACAACTTGACGCTGAATAACAACTAAAAGTAGAACTAACATTATCACTAGACCTAAAACTAGAATAATTCGGGTTTAACCGCAAGTATCTTAAGATGGCTAAATTGTTACTTCGCATTTGACCAAGATAAACTTGCCAAGTTGTACATATTGTGAATTCAAGTTGTCTTCTTCGAAGGTTATTTGTTTAAGATACATTGATTAATTATCACTTTGTATCATTAACGTTAATAAACGAAGAATTTTTTTTAACTAAAAAGAATGTAATTATCTTGTCTAATGTAAGATATTTACACGAAGATGTATGTTTCTCAATAAATCTCGGAATTACATAATTCAAAAAAGAAAAACCGATTAGTTAATATCGATGTTTGTTATTTCCTTTGCATACAATTAAAACAGATTACATCAGAATACACATAAATTCCGTTTATGACTTCACTTATTTTATAAAATCTGTTTAAACGATGTTTGATTATTACTATTGAATTAATTTCCGAAATAATTTTAATTTTTCGTCAGAATTGAAAGCTCCGCGCGCTTAAATATATGTCAAGGATGATGTATCAAGATACATATCTACGTCTATACACGCTCGAACGACTTAGATTGTTAGAGGCTTTGGTAGATTTAGTTATTTTTTTCTTTCGTTACGGATTTAACCTACAAGAAGTTGTTGGCGGGTCGTAAAAATGCTTCTGGATGACCTTATCAGTTTTGCGCAGGTGTATTATTATTGTTATTGTTAGTGTTTATATATACTGGCTCAATGTTTTGCAATCGCGCGCTCCTTTTAATTATGATTAGAAAAGTTATAATTGTCCGTCAATCAAACACCACTTCAACACCGCGTTTGGTTTCAGGAAGTCTTATTTATATATGGCATTTAAAAGAAGAAATATTTGTCTTTGTTAGAACTTCCTAGTTGATACTTTAAGTTTTATCGACAATTTTAATTGTTAATTAGAAAATGCACTTTAATTCAAATAAATTTAACAATATTTGACTATTAAACGCAAATTACACCTTGACCAAAATAGATAACTTGGTATTAAAAAGCGTTGTTGGTTTATTCAACGATCATGTTTGTGTTTTAACAATGATAATAATCTCTGTTCGATTCTTTAATACGAAATAAGTAATCAATCGTTGACGTTTATCCGGTCGTTTTTAATAAAAATTATCTTAATGGTGTGCATGAGATTGAACCTGTTGAAAAATCACGTTTCGTGAACCTGTCCTGACCTTCTCTTTTAGAGCGTACGCGGTCCGGCAACTTACTCAGATTTGCGAGATTGCTAAATGCTAATTGAATGTTGGTTGTCCCGTTGACGTAGTATGCTCATAATGAGAACCAGGAAGAATGTTTCTACTTGTACTGTTTCTTGTTTTGGGTGAATCTGATTCACTCAACTAGAATACTAATGAATTTCGTAGAAATAAAAAGAAATAGATTTAATATCTTAGACTTTGTTTCTTATTGGACAAGATGACGATTTATATTAAACAAGGTTGAGGCGAATTATTGAACAGCTTTAATTAGCTCTGTTGTTAAATATGTGGAATGTGTCAATGAATAATATCAGTTGATATTTCTTTATTAATTTCTACTGGTTTCAGGTTCTTGCCTCATCTTCAGATGCAGCTCAACTCAAGTCTTGGTCTCCTACAGTTTGCCTCTCCATTTCTTCTTATCTAGCTGAACTCTTCCAGATTCGCATCTACAATCATGTCTTTGCAACTCCCCCACAGCATCTTCCCATCTTTTCAGGATAGCGTGATTTGCATCTCTTGTATAATCATTCTCCCGCTTTTTCTGTTAGGCTCATTATGCTAATGTTATCGGCATACTTTGCCAAATGAACTGTTTTGTATGATGTATTCTAGAGCTAAGTTGAAAAGCTGCTTCTGTTAGTTTAATGAGTTTGGCAAGAATCTTCCCATCTTATATATGATTTAGTAAAGCTTTCTCTGTATGCGCTGTTCTATATCTGACGAAAATCAACAAACTTCTTGCTCCCATATTTTTACAATTAATGAGTGTAGCTGTCTGGATACTTGGCGTATTAATTAAAACCAAAATGTGTTAAAACCAACATGTTATCAAGAATCTATGTTAATTAAACGAAAACATAAATCTTAAAAATGTAAATTTCCAAAAAAAATCCCAAAAAACTACAAATATTTGTTGCTTTTAGAACAAATATAGTTCATCATTTTGACGCCTTTTTTGTTGATACGAAAATGCAAAGTATATGCATATGATTTACATATTTCTTTATAATTTTTAAAATCTAAATTAATAAATTTTAAAAGCATTCTTTGAACGATTAATTTTGTTTAGCTATTATTAAAAAAAATTATTTTGATTTTAGGAAATTTCATCAAAACATTTCATAATTTCCATTACTTAACGATTACTTAAAATTAACAAATTTTGATTACACCCAACGCTTCCACTTCAATACAATACTAAAGTTCTTTCATCACAATTCCCTACATGCAAAGTCTCACGTAGCAAATTTCACTTCTTCCGTTGCAAAACACCACAATTGGAAGGGTAAGTAACCGGATGATTTACTTGACTATATTTTATTTTAGATTCGATCAAAGCTCAAAGAATTTATTCGCTAGATAGTGATCCGAAATGAAAGGAAACTTACGATTGAATTCTGATTAGAATTGTTTGCTGGCGCGAAATTTTTCGATTCCATTGTTTGATATGTACGGAAACTGAAACTAATCGCGTACCACCTTCACTTACTGACCAAAGCACCACTCTCTTGCTCGTTTGCGAGCACGTGTACTACTGATTCTTGGTCTCGTGTCGCCTTCTTAAATAAGCTCGACGCCCGGATTTAACTCTTTTAACGGCCGAAGACAGAAAATGTTCTCGCACCTGTTTCGTTACTCCGCGAAACGAGACGCGATGCATAACCGAGATGATTTATCGTAATTAATTTTGTAGGACATCCACTTTTCTCTCATATACTTCATGTATGTTTTTATTTTTTAATAATTTAATTTTTTTTAAGTTTTATTAACCTGTCGTATTATTAAGAAATTAATCATTATAATTTCGCCTGTTATTGCTCATTATCATTCAAATTCTTAACGACACTATTAATATCATTTATTGAGGACATGTTCCGGTTGCTTGCGAGAATTGATACATTTTTTCCTTATTTGTCGTGATATATTATCATTATTTCCTATTTTTTTATATCAAGAAAACGTTTTATTGATTTTATTAAAATACGTCCTTATTCCATATATCAAAAGTGACGTTACAACGACGATTTACAAATAATAGAAACCTCAACATCCTGTATCCTTGGGATTTTGACATTTTTTTGATTGAAAAAAGTAGATCTATTTGTTTTTTTTAAATGTTACTTACCACGCCTTTGAATAATTAGTTTTACTCGTCAGTAGAAAATCGGCATTGAAGATTACAATAACGGTTATCTTTTAAGATTATCTTAAACGTTGATTGGTCGTAAAATATGTCGCGGATTCTATACAAGAGCTGTAAAGTAATGCCTATTACTTTATTTGATAATGCTACTTTGCGGCTTGGTTAATTAAGTTTTTTCTTTTACCTTGTGGTTTTATTACTTTGTTGCAAACGGTGTAACGAAGAACAAGTATTTGTACAGAAAAGTTAGAATTTTATTAGCATTTATAATTGTATGGGTGGTAACTATAATTATGCTGTCAATGTTTTTGATTTTATGGAATATTTCTAATATTTCTACATTTCCTTTTATGTCGAATAAATTACTTTAAACTCTTTGGGTTTATTTTGGTTTTTAATAACGAGTAGTTTTTGATGGTTAAGGTAATTACATCATTAGGTATTTTCTATTAATAAGCTCCAAACGATGGAAATTAGTATACAACGTATTTAATATCTTAATTTGATTGAGATAACATAATGTGGTTTTTACGAGAGATATTGAGAAGGAGAAAGAGTCTTATGGAAAGAAAATGAACTCAATAAACTTAAAACTTTAGGACCAATTTTTTGTATAAATCGGGGAATCCAGTGTTCAATATAGCTCAATAAAAATATAGCACTGAATAAGATATCACTATGTTGCATATTTTTATTGCACTACTTTAGACGCACGGCTAAACCCGATATTTTCTAGTTCTAGGTCTAGTGTTAGTTCTAGTTTTACACTAGCACTATCACTAGAACTAACACAAGACCTAGAACTAGAATCATTCAGGTTTAGCCGTCTTGAGAGACGTGCGGCTAAACCCGAATGTCTCTAGTTCTTGGTCTAGTGTTAGTTTTAGTGTTACACTATCACTAGAACTAATATAAGACCTAGAACTAGAATCATTCGGGTTTAGCCGTCTTGAGAGACGTGCGGCTAAACCCGAATGTTTCTAGTTCTAGGTCTAGTGTTAGTTCTAGTTTTACACTAGCACTATCACTAGAACTAACACAAGACCTAGAACTAGAATCATTCGGGTTTAGCCGTCTTGAGAGACGTGCGGCTAAATCCGAATGTTTCTACTTCTCGGTCTAAAGCACTAAACGAGTACTAATAAAAAAATATATGTAGACAACTTTCTTTCTTGGCCTCTAAACAATATCTATATACTAATAGATATCTTAATTGATTTATTTGGGGTTAACTCTTTTTTTTGTGATATAACAGTATTATATCTAGTTTGACTTATCAACAGTTATTATGGTTTCTGGAAAAACCTAAGTTGTTACGGTTCTTTAATAAAAAAACAATCTCACCGAGGGATTCCCAGTTTGTCTCAATCGTACATTTTACTTTTGATCCTTTCTTTTTTACTTATTTATTTCAACCGAGTAAAATACAATTGAACTTTTTTATTTTTTTTAAACATTAAACAGGTAAAAACCACAAACACTCAACAAAATATTTCGCCGTTCGATTATTACGCAAAAGGCGTACGTGTTCAGCGTTTAATTTACACCGACGAGATTTTTATTTGCGGTTTTTCATTTTCTTTTATTTCCAATTTGTATCCCAAATGACGTCAATAGTAAAAAAAGAGTTACAATAAACGCAAATATTGACTTGATTCGAAAAGTCCACCTTTAAAATCAATACGTTGTCCAGTCCTGTCAAGTCGAGAAACTTCTTTGGCTACCGTCTCGGTAGTGAGCATACATATTTAATTTAGCATGTCATCTCGGAGTTGGTAGCCAAGAATGCAATGACTGTCGTATATTTCTGTCGGCAGTAGCATACAAAACTTCACTTTAAATGAGTTGAATGGAACTCAATTCGATGACGATGATGACGCTAGATGGGAAATCAACGTGGGAGGGTGAAGTTAATTATTAAAAAAATGTCGTCTTAATGTGTATTTCGTTTCGGAGAGGAGCGCTTGAAGGCCGCCGTCGCAGCAATTTGGAGTGAACGTAAAAGAAACGGATGAATTCACTAATATGCTTTTTTTCGAAAGAGGAGTCCTTGGTTGTTTTGGACCCCTTTGGTCACTTTATCTACCGAAGAACGATTCGCGCGATTAATCAAATCCGGTCGGCCGCTAGGTGGATTTGTTTAAAGGTCGTCGTGATTTTAAGAAACGCTTGATTATTGGTGGTTGGGTTTTTGGTGGAGCGGAGGAGGAAGGAAATAAAATGAAATAATCACTGTCTAAGTAGTTTTTTTGGGCTGGTATGCAAGGATAGACAATTATTGAAATTAATTGGAATGGAATAGTTCCTATGAAAAGCTTTATTTTTTTTTCATGTCTTTTTTAAGGAGGTTTGAGGTCGTTTGTTAGTCATCATTTTGAGTTCTATAATAAAGTTACTAATTTAGTCTGAGTGTTCTAAGTTGGTTGTGTTGACCGTCAAAAATTTTGCTTAATCATATTAGAATTATCAATATTTCCAGTATTGATTAATTCTTTTCCTTATCTCATTATTTTAAACTCTCTGTACTTTGCAAATAACACACGAAACCAGAAAGTAATTTCCTGTGTTTACTCACAGTAGCCTTCGCGTCCACTTTACATACTCCCCGATTTTGTAATATTTCCTTTCTCCGATTTATTTTACGTATTCGTGCGTAATAAATTCGTAAGATGACTAATTCTAATTAAGCAACCAAATTCCGAGTATTACAATAACTCAGCTTACGTTATCGTTTGCATACAAACTGGTTTTAATGAATGAAATGCAACAGCTATTTGTAAATGATTACAGATAAGAACGAACTTGGAGGTGTCAAGGTTACGCCCGGACCGTTTCGACCGTCCATTAGCATGAACGCGTTCTAAATATTAATGGAAGTGTTTAGGTTTTTCTCACAACACAACAACAGCTATGAGTCCAACGGCTGCTTGTAGGTCAGTGCCGTATATATTTAAAACGTTAATTAAGCGTAGGAAAGCGAAGCAAAACTGCTTGGGAAAAAAACAATGGGAAGAAGTGTCATATCTTAAATGAGTGAAATCGAATTTGTTCATTTCGTTAACTTGGCCGTGAAGAAAATGCACCGACGAAGACCGACCACCGCGTCGATTAATTTCATTAATGCGTTAAAACTCAGACACATTCATCATGTCGCCGAAACAATTTTAAACAGTCTCTTTAAATACGACTTGCTGACCTCCGCTTGCGATCTGGATCATTCGATTTGTACTCTTTTTTTTTTGGTATTCTCGCCTTCAATCAAATTGTATTGTTCTTCATAAAAACAAAACAGTAATAAAATATATCTTGTTCGGTTTGCTTTGTATCTCTTTATTCGGTTTCGTTCCTACATTGCCTAATTTGATTGCACCTAGTATTTTGTGATAGAAATGCGTCCATAAATTCGTCATTGAACCACTTGAAATGGAAACCTCTACAGAAACTTCTCATTATACCATTTAGGAATGCGCTCTAAAGCATACCACGTAAACGTGTGCGTGCTTACTTAGCACTTTACGATGTATCTATGCAAGTAGATGTAGTATTTTCTTGTTGTAGACCGTATTTAGATTTCGCTTTGTATGTTTACTTTTTCGCATAGCAACTACAACCGGTGGTTTAAAATAAGAAGTCGTTATTTTATTTTATGTAAATCCCGCAAGTCTCGATATCGAATTGAAATGTATTCCGCGTTTTATTTTAGTTTATAAACGTTCGTATTGATTTACGCGGACATTTTCGAATTGTAATAAATTTAAATTGTTGCTTTACACTCAAGTCATAATTTTAGCGTCCACGTGGATCTCTCCGAGTGACATTGAAAACCCACCACAATCAAGAAAAAGGTTAGCGTAATTGGAGTACACGTGTAGAAAGAATATGAGACCGCAAAGTAAATAGGCTCGTAATAAATTGATTCTTTACATAAGAACGTTGCAAACTGCACATTGATGACCGCGTCGTACCGCAGCAGGTTTCCTGCTACCATAAGAAAGTAAATTTTGCAAGCAGATCAGATCCTGTTCTGCATCCGGCAAGCGGCACATGAGGCGGGGTTGTATACCGTGCAAGATTCTTGTGTTACGATATCGAGAATTTCCTCTCATTAAATTTAATTCACGGCTTTGATAAGGATATTTAGTGGCGCTTTAGTAGGTGAACTTAGGTTCGGCTCTTGTTCCTGGTAAATGAAATGTCAAAACTGTATAATATGATTAATGGATGAATTTATAAATAAATAATACTGTTATGTGTGTCCCGGAGATAATTATGTAATCTAATTTAACGACAATATGATTGATATCGGTTATTAGAGAAATAATTGTTATAATAACGTGATAATTACAACAAAGCGTGTAATATTAATTACTGAACTTAATATGGCACGAAAGTG